TCATGCTCTCTCTATCTCATTCTCTCTCTCAAATAAATAAGTAAAATCTTTAAAAAAAAAAAAAAAGTTTCCAGAGTACAGTGATAGAGATATATTTCAAAGCCAAACTTGAATTAGTTAACAAGTGAAAAATACAATGTTAAGCCGAATAAAGATGAAGGGCCTCCCCCCACCTTCCTTCTCTGAACTAGATTTTTTTTGAATAGTGTATTTAGGGAATTAAATTGGCAAGAAAAATTTGAGGGAAATTAAAAACTTGATACTTGACAAAATAAAAGAAGTATAGACGCTTCAGTGCCATGTTTTAGAAAAAATTTAGGAAGTAGGTAGTGAAGGTATGTTACAGCTAACAGTTGAGATTTTTAAAATGATAATTGCCTAGCCTACAAATATCCTGGGGATTTTGATTCAGTGGATATGGAGTGTGGCCCATGCTCTACATTCTGACAGAACTGCACGAGTATTGTTTCTGAACAAGAGTCATGGTTCCGGAGCAAAATATCTTATATCCAGGCTACTGAATTTCTCATGAGTCATTTGATCTTTGTGCCTCTAGCTGCTTCAATAAAATGAGTTTGATATTAACTACCTGCCTTTTTAAGTTGGATTTATGGGCTCTCCCTCTATCCCTCCTCATATTACTTATATACTAAATACTTTTCTGGTTTCAGGCTAAATTCTCTGTGAAGAAATCAGAAGATGAAGATGCATCTAAAGACACTTATGTTATTGAGTGCCAAGGAATTGGAATGACAAATCCGTATCTATAGGGTATTTGCCTTTTAAATAATACCTCAATGATGTATTGCACTAATTCATAAATCCTAGAAAACAATGAATAAGAAGTAACTTATTAAAGGACCTGACATAAATATGGAATGAAGTACAGAGTGTCGTAGATTTGCTGAGATTTGCTGTGAATGCTTCATCAAATTAATCTCCCTTTATCTCCTGAGATAAGGACAATGAAATATGAGAGCTGATGGATATGTATGATAGCTGATTTCAATATTAAAGTATTGAAATAGAGTATTCTTTCCACCTGAAGTGTGTTTTTCTTTCTTATATAATAGAGGAAGTAGATTTGGTCTGTAATTTGGGTCTCGTGCTTATCACTTTACCAAAACCTCATGTAAAGTATGATGAGACAGCTTTTTGCACAAGTACTTGTATCAACAATAACATTTAATAAGCGTTTTCTTATTCGACTTATGTGTACCTTCTTTACAATAGGCACTTGGTAAATACTGGTTTGAATCCGTGGAATGTTTTGAAAGCCAAACAATGAGGATTGCAAAATTTGAACCCTAGTAAATTTGTCCAAATTCAGCCTCGATATGTTTTTGTTTGGCTTTCAAAACATTCAACAGACTCAAAATCTAATTAAAAAATAATTGAGCACCTTTAGAACAGAGTGTGCTTTTCATCACACTCTATTATCTTATACCTAGTCTGCTTCCACATTTAGATTACTTCCTGGTCCCTGCAGGCAGTTGAGGTTGTGACTCAGATGAAACTGGTTTGGTGTAGCAGCTAACTATGCTGTCCTGTAATACAGTGAGGAAGTCTTTTAAACTTGGTTCTGTTTTGGACTTTATCCAGGGATGATTAAAACATAGTCCAAGATATAGGGGTTCCTGGGTGGCTCAGTCGTTAAGCGTCTGCCTTCGGCTCAGGTCATGATCCCAGGGTCCTGGGATCGAGCCCCGCATCGGGCTCCCTGCTCCAAGGGAAGCCTGCTTCTCCCTCTCCCACTCCCCCTGCTTGTGTTCCCTCTCTTGCTTTCTCTCTCTCTGTCAAATAAATAAATAAAATCTTTAAAAA